TCGATAAGTAGTTCTCTTGTTTGGAGTAGCTATCACATCGTCTACCACTTGTATATTAATATTATTAGAAATATGCTGGTACACGTGGCCTCTGAAGATCAAGTTTGACGTGTACCACCGGTGGTACACATGGCACGGAACGTGTTAACTAACGAAAGTTTCTAAATTGACTTGAATCTCTCTCTCTATCCACTGGAGATAGTGAAAGTAAGTACCTGGGAGATTCCTCGGAAGAGCGTTCCTCAAGGTGATCCCAATGATTCTCAGATTCTCTTGCCGGCAGAATATAGAGATTGCGGCAACGATGGAAGAGAAAAGCAGAAAAGAAAGAAAAAAAAAAAACGTCCGATACCGATCCGCTCGCGTTCGAAATGGAAAAGGAAAGTAAAAGAAAGATAAAAACGAAGACTACGGAGGAGAAACTTGAAACGTACGGAGATACAGCGCGCGACAGATAACAGCGAAATGAAGATGTTCGGGCTCGGGATGTTCGAGCGTGGATGTTACCCGACTGCCATATTCACTATCCGGGTCATAAGTGTGTCTAGGTGTACTACGAAAGGAGAGAATGGCGAATCCCTTCTCTCGGAGAGAAGATTTTCCCTCTCGTCCGCGTGTTACAAGGCACCGGCTCTATAGGTCATTGGCGGCGAGTTCATGGGAGCCTTGTTTCATGCTCCCCTGCGAAAAACGTAGGGAAAAGGGAGCCGCCTTTACTCCCGCAACTATGCCAAAGATTATGCGAGAATCTGTTCCATCGATTGGATGCAACAGGAGCAACGCAGAACCCGCTGCCCTGTGTGTTCTCTCCCTGAAACAGATTTATCGTCGTCGTTACGAAGGATTCACGAAATCTTGAAATTTATCTTCCGAATGTACAGCGTACAGCTTTCGACCACAACGAAAGCTTAATAAATTTAAAACGAGGGATTGCGAAACGTTGCGAAACTTTCGAACAGGTTCTGTTTGGAACAGATCCCCGATGACAATAGACGAATTAATGTGTTTAAAATAGAAATAAAAGTTTCAGAAATGGGACTTTAAACAGATAAAAATTTCTCTGTCGCAGGGCTAATTTGTTTGTCAATGTTAAAAAAAAGAAAAACAACTCGATATTTGTGGCAAATACTGAGTGCTATTCAATGAATAGCATAGATTAATTATAGATTAATTCATTAATTCATTAATCAATTTAATTTATTAATCTAATTGATTCGATTAATTTAATTGATTGATTCGACCAATTCAATTGATTCGATTGATTTAATTGATTGAATTAATCGAGTCAATTAATTAAATTAATCGAAATCTTTCTAACTTTCAAACTGATGATAAATCTAGGCACGAAAGAAATTTTCTTAATATTTTTACAATTTTCGAGAGAAAAGTTTCTACGAACTGACACTTGTCAATGCAGAGCATAGATTAATTATAGATTAATTCATTAATTCATTAATCAATTTAATTTATTAATCTAATTGATTCGATTAATTTAATTAATTG